TAAATTAAAATATTTTATTTTTAAAATATTAATTTATTATTATTATTATTATCTTTTTAATAATTTTTTTAAAACAGATAAACTGGAGAAATGGAGGGTGCCTGTTTCTTTTTTGCTGTTGTTTTTGATTAATGCTAATGAATTTGGCTTTTTTTTCTTTACATAGTCATCCTTTCTCTGGGGATACATATTTTCTTCGGTGATCGGCGGGGCATTGGTGGACAAATATGGCGGCAAAAGGGTGCTGGCATGGGGTGTGGCCCTGTGGTCTTTGGCCACCCTATTAACTCCATGGGCTGCCAATCACTCCACCGCCGCTCTCCTGGCGGCTCGCGCCTTCTTTGGGCTGGCCGAAGGCGTAGCCCTCCCTTCCATGAGCATCCTCACCTCCAGGTGGTTTCCAACCCACGAAAGGGCAAGCGCGGTTGGAATTTCGATGGCAGGATTTCATCTTGGTAACGTCGTGGGTTTGGTCCTGACTCCGCTCATGTTGTCCTCCACTGGAATTTCCAGCCCCTTTATTCTCTTCTCATCTGTTGGACTGCTATGGCTGTCCACTTGGATGCACAAAGTTACAAGTGATCCCCGAGACAGCCCTTTTGTGAGCAAATCAGAGCTGCGGTTGATTCAGGCCGGTAAGACAGAATCCCCGGCAGGAAACGGCGGCAAACTTCCATCCCTGCGTTTCCTATTATCAAAACTACCAACATGGGCAATTATATTTGCTAATATAACCAACAACTGGGTACATCTTTCTCACTCAATAAAAATTCTAAATTAGTCAGTCTCCTACTGTTCTACTAATAAGAGTGTGGGGTTTTTTTTTTTTTTAATTATTACAGGGATATTTTGTTCTTCTTTCATGGATGCCTGTGTATTTCAAGACGGTAAGTAATTTCATTATTGAATTAAACATGGCAATTAGATAAAAATGTTTTTCTTTGTAATCAATTTTGCTTTGTTGGATGTATATAGGTGTTTAATGTGAACTTGAAGCAAGCAGCCTGGTTCAGTGCTGTTCCATGGGGGACAATGGCAGTTTCTGGTTACATTGCGGGTGCAGCCTCGGATCGGTTAGTCAACGCCGGCTACTCCTTAACTCTAGTCCGAAAGATCATGCAGTCTATAGGCTTCATGGGTCCAGGAATTTCATTACTGTGCCTGAATTATGCAAACTCCCCTGCAGCTGCTGCTATGCTCATTACCGCAGCTCTGAGCCTTAGTTCTTTCAGCCAAGCAGGATTTCTTCTCAATATGCATGTAAGTTCGATTTCCTGAAAAATGGGTATCTGGACCTTTGGCTCGATCAATTTCTAATGCAGTTTTTCTCTTTGATAGGATATTGCTCCTCAATATGCAGGATTTCTTCATGGTATGCTATTTTTTCCACTGTCATACTTTTTCCTTTGCTGAGTTTCAAGTTTCAATCCAATACTTAGATTTCTTTTCTTTTTTCATTGAATTAGGCATATCAAATTCAGCTGGGACATTGGCTGCTATAATCAGCACGATCGGAACAGGTTATTTTGTACAATGGCTAGGATCCTTCCAGGCATTCCTCACAGTCACAGCGTGCTTGTATTTCATCTCAACCATATTCTGGAACCTCTGTGCTACAGGGGAGAGAGTTTTCTAGCCCAAAATACATATGAATAATTGGCAAGTATCAGCAGCATCTGCAATCTGGGTTTATTCAAAAAATTTGGTAATTTTTTAGGGATGAATGATTCAATAATATACTGAGTGAGCATCTATTTGATATATAGTTCATTCATAGTTCTGCACCTGGAAAACAGTTCTTTTATGCTTATCTATTTTGGCAAACATTTGACAAGTTGTATGAAGCTGTGAGTGTAATGTAAATTTTTTTTAGCATATGTTTTCAATTTGGAAAGGGATAGGCAAATATGAAAGTTGTATGAAGCTGTGATTGTAATGTGATGACGCTCTAGCCAGCTTGAAATTTTGTGTAGTCATTGATTTCATTTTAAAATGCAGTATAGGTTTGTTTGTGGATGCATAGGTCATTTCGAAAACAATTGTGATGTTGCACACCATATAAAAGAAGTAGGTGCGAAATTAGTGAGACATTTTGGATCCTGGTTTATAGCTGAATTGGAGAATTCCTGGCTCCTGGATAATCTTGACGAGTTGGATGAATCTTTTTCTGCAAGTATTCATCTTTTTATGGATGGTAAAGACAATGAAGAGGAGGTGGACTTAGGTTATGTGAATGATTAACAAAACAAATCCTTAGACATGAATATTAATTGTGGTAGTTTATGTAGAGGAAAAGAGGCAAGCTGCTGGCTTAAATCATGTTTTGCATGGAGAGGAAAACAACCATACCCCTACTGGAGTTTTGGTTCCTTTATCAAATGAGCAACTTGTAGAGATCCCATTATCACAGTAGTTTGGCAGCATTAGGAATTCAAAGAAAGGTACAGATGTGGATGCAAGTAAATGAGGTACCGTACATGGCGGGGCATTGGAAGAGGATTAGAAAGCTCATCGAGTAGGAAGACGAGTTCCCATGGTAAGAGGAAATTTAATTCTGACTTTTTAGAGGAAGAGCGAGCTTCGAAGGTGCTCGTTAACAATGCAGGTGTGGCTTATGCTTGCATGGTGGCTGGTCATGATCCACATGCAGCGTAATCTTTCTAGTTTGATTGAGGCAGAACTTACGGATTGGGGACTATTGTTGTTGTACTCCCTTCTCCCCTACTCTCCTCATGGCTAAATAGGTGGGAAAGTTTAGTAGTTTAGGATGCCCACATTGACTTTCTTCTCTATGGTAATAATCTTGTTTATGCTCATATAATAATTATATAATTGCAAATGACCTTCTTTG